TTCGGAAACTCGCCGGTTTCCTACTCCCCGTTGAGGCGAGCCCAACTCCAACGCTCAACCATGAAGCCACCGCACGCCCCCTTCGTCAAGGGGTGGGCAAGGCGGGAGCCGGCCCACGGAGAGGACTACCCAAGCCTCGATCACTAGGGTAGTTCTTCCTTCACTCTGAAGGTGGTGAACTCCAAACCACTCACAAACAGGTACCGGGCCTCCTCCACAATCTTCTCGGAGAGATCACCGGGCAACTTCTCCACAAACCGTCTAGGAGGCGGCAACCTCCAAGAGTAACAAGCAATGACCCGGCGTGGAGATGATCAAGTGCCACACTAGCTCTACAATGGAAGCAAATGCACTTGACTCTTGGCTAATCAACCCTCTAACACACTAGATGGATGAACACAAAGCTCAAGTGAGTGTGAGAGAGGTGCAAGGGGTGTATGCAATTGAATTGGGTGCCAAGAGAGCCCCCTTGCTGCTGGTGGGGGAGTATTTATACTCACCCACCAAAACTAGCCGTTGGGGGCGAAATCCCCCAACTTTGTGCTCTGCCGGTCTGACCGGAGGTATGTGGCCAGTCAGACCGTGCTACTCTGCAACGGCTAGAAAACTAGCCGTTGAAATGCTGTCAGAGGGCCCCATCGGCCTGGCCGGTCAGACCGGCGTAGAGTGGGCGGTCAGACCGGCCTCGGCTCGGTTTGACCGACTACGGCTCCGTTGGCTCTGTATCGGCCATCCCGAGCAGCATCATCTCAGCCTCTAGGGGGCCGGTCTGACCGCTCATGTGCCGCCGGTCAGACTGGCCCTATGCGACGATCAGACCGCCATCTTGCGGCCTGTCAGACCGGCCATGGCACGCCAGTCAGACCGCCACTATGTGGCCGGTCTGACCGTCCCTGGTCAGGCCGAACCCAGTGAATTTGCAAGTGAATGTGTGTGTGATGAAAAAGAGAGCACAAATGAAAATGCAATGACCTAATGTGGCAATTCAATCATCTCTTTGCTAGGTCATTACCCCTCTTAATAGTACGGCGAAACTAGAAAATAAACTAGCAATTTTGATCGCCCTACACCTCGATCAATTCTAAATTAAAGCACTAGTTTTACCGTCTTCTTTCTCTTTGCTTTGCGCCGTCAATTTTAATCCATCGATAATCATCCATTCGCACATATGACATGGACCTAACTTAAAATGTATAGCTCAAAGACAACGGTTAGTCCACAATTAGCGCTTGTCATTAATTACCAAAATTAACAACGGGGGTCTAGATGCTTCAGGCGCCCTCCCCCCGCGAGCGGCGGCGTCAGTGGCGCGGTGCCCTCCCCCCGCAAGCGGCGGCGGCGCGGCGCCCTCCACCCCGCAAGCGGCGGCGCGCTCCCACCCCCCCTCACTCTCTCCACTTCTCCCCCTTTCTCTCTGTGTGGCGGCGGCGGGAGGGCCAGCGACGCCCTGCCCTCCGCTAGATCGGGGGGAGGGGAGGTGCGGCGGCGGGTCGGACGGCGTGGAGGCGGCCGGCTGGACCTCGCGTCCGCCAGATCCGGCGGCGCTGCGGCCAGGACGGCGTGGAGGCGGCGGGCTGGGCCTCGCCTCCTCTAGATCTGGCGGCATGGAGGCGGCTGTGGCCCGGCGGGGCGGGAGGGGCGGCGGCCCGGACGGTGTGGAGGCGGGCGGTGGTGGCGCCGATTTTTTTTTTGCAATTTTTTCCATCGCTATTGCTAACCTAATCGGATTGCTTATGGACGAAAAATCGGATGAAATTAGATGTGACGACCGGAAAAATACGAATATTTATATTAGTTATAGATATAGATTATCAATATAGCAAAATCGTTCCATTACGTTGAAAGAACTCCTACGGGAAGGGTTCGTTTTGATTTGAGCCTTGCCATCTAACGTAGTAGGCTTGGGCCCATAGCCACATGCTTGAATGGGCCTTGCCAACATGACAGAAATGGCCCATGGGCTCATTCACGCACGCGCGCACGGACATCTACCACGGCGCATCAAGACGGGCTACGCCATTGATGACGTCAGCGAGCGATCTCCCTTCCGACCCTACCTACCGGAGGAGAAGCAGCAGCGGTACTACTACGGAGTACTTTAATTTCCGGGTTTTCGGACAGCTCAAAAGTAGCGAAGTACCCGTTAATTAAACATGGTCCATTCTCCCCCTAATTCTACAGTATTATTATATATTTGAATTAGGTGCACAGTCTGGATCATAGATGATTTTTATAATTATAATTGTGTTTCTGTGTGCTAAAGGAGGGGCAGAAACAGATTGTTTTCTTTTTTGGATATATGGAGCGGAAAGGGAGGATTCCTGGTTATTTCCTCTGTCCAGTAAAAGAGGGTGCAAGCAAATATGGTTTTCTTTTGATACCTAGTTGCAATAATCAGTTAGAAAAAGAATCAACTATAGGATTCCTTCAACCTAAAATATAGATACTTGTAGCGCTTGGATTTTGTTCCAAAATACGTACTCCTCACGTCAACCAATCACAACCATCTCTCACTTAAATTCTTAACATATTTTCTCATCCCAATTAATCATAAATATCGCTCATTTAATTTCGACCATCTCCGTAAGTCAGTTTGAGATAACTGAAATTGATGGATGGATAGATTATTTGATTTTTTTTAATAGCTATTTAAGAGTATAAATGAATGAGTTAACTCCTACAAAGTAAAAAAAAGTTATTCTAGAAAAGTATTCCAAGAAAAAAAATATAAAGATTTTCTTTATGAAATGCATTTAGAAGCTTGGGAAATGTACAGATGAAAATCCAAAATATTGACTTAGAAAAGAAAGTGGCCTTGATCTCTGCGAAAAACTTTAGAAATACTTGTATTTTGGGATGTAACACAACTTTAGAAAGTGGTTTTTTCTAGTAGTTTTGGTTTTCCTAGGACTAAATATCCACTCGATTATGAAAATTGTGAAAAGTAAAGTGGACATAAAGAGAGAGTTTAATTACTGTTTAGGTTCAAAATTTGGAATGAAAAAACAATGAGGGACAATTCTGGAAATTTTGATTTTTTTAAAAAAATAAATTTAAGCAATTATCTTTTGCTAAGTTTGAACAAATAGTTTGCTAAATTGAGACAAATACAGCATTTTCTGGCTAACTACATATAACACATCATACCGGTCCCAGCCGGTAAACCCGAAATTTCAGAAACTCAGTGCAGCAAGATCAGTGACCGAGACAATTAGCTCCAATCATTGAGAGACCCAGGTCATGCACTTGTAAACCAGCTTAACGCTCACCAAATGATGTCAATTAAGCCAGCAAGGACCTTAAATTGGCTCCAACCTAAACCGCAGAGACAGTGGCTCAAGAACACCCAAGAGAAAGACTGAAAGAGACGAGCACCAAGACGGAAGAGGATGACAAAGAGCCCAATTATTGGGACACTTAGGTGGACGGTATGAATCCAAGGGAACTAGTAGACTTGAAGATATGTATTCATGTCAGCGTCGGAATGGATGGCCGTCCCCTTCAAATTCGATGCACATTGTGGTAGTGAAGGGGTAACGATCATCATGGGGCCCTATATTTTGATGGGATGTTAATTCCTCGTGAATTTATAGCTTGTTATGGTTTACCTGGTGAGTGGTGAATTGGAATTTTATTTTAGTGGTGAATTGGAATTTTATTTTGCAGGTTTAGCTTGTTGATCGCTTAGGATCAGTGACAGATCCAAGATTTTTTTGAGCCTGAATTTCTATAACGACTGTTTGATGAGAAAATGTCATATTCAATTTATACAGAAATTATTATTGATTGTTCCCTCACGAGACCGGGTAGCCATCCAAAATCGTGGGGCGGTAATTCCTCCCCTATATATGTTTCACTACGATTCTCTCGTCAATATTATAATTCTATCATCAATTTTATGGGATTAAATTTAGTTTTTTTAACCTGTGTATACATTTGCCCTTGTCATGTGCAATGTTGTGATCCATTAAGATCATATCAATCCTTGTCAGGAATCACGTTGCAGTGTCCCTATGATCCCTTGTCCCTTCGTTGCTGTGCTATGAGAAAGAGAGTTGCCATCTCGCAAAGACCATCGTCTTACCTCAGTTCTGAAAGGAGGTGCGGATCCAAATCAGCTTTTGTAACTGAGAAAAAGTTCATCAACGATCAATTTGTCCTTAGTTTTGCCTTAGACAGCATTAGGGTAACTGGACCTACCGCGGTACACTCCAAGAATCCATCCAATGTTTCGTAAGGGTGTGTATATATATTCCATGGAAAACCTAGACTTTGCTTCAAACAAAACTATATCCAATTATCATAGAGTCTGCAGCTCAATCCATCCATCTTTTGCAATGGATAATAATATATATTACCTCTGTCCTAAAATGTAATAATCTAAGATGGGTTTAGGTCTAATAACATCCTAGACTACGTATCTTATTCTAGATTGCTACATTTTTTTGACAGATGGAGTACATGGTATAAACCCAAAACACCGATTTACCATAATAATGTATTTTTGGAATTCAGGGATGATTTTACAAGGATTTCATCAGAATTAGTTTGTTTTCCGAAGGAATCAGGGGAGAAATACTCACCATTCAAGATTTTGAGATGAAGGTATTTTCTGTATTTCATAAAGAAAAAGAATGCCAGATCAGAAATCATGCCTAGAGCATCGGGCGAGAGAGAGAGAGAGAGAGAGAGAGATCATACCTAGAGGTACGGGTGTGTCTAGGGCGGCGAAATTTCGCCATGCCGACCATGCCATCTGCACCCATGTTGAACCATGATCATGTGCGCCACATCCCCACGACACAAAACGACCAAAAATAATAATAATCATCATCATCTTTCCACCAAGAACAGCCTCACAAAATTAATCACAAACGCCACACCATCTCCACATGCCCCATATGCACGCATGCCAGCCAGCCTTTGAATCATGCCAAATTCTTTATAGCAGTTTTTGCTCCACACAGGCGACAACACAGCACACCTCAAGCTCACTCACATGCAACGCAATCAATCGATCAATCACAGAGATCCAAAGGCTCACTCAGCAGCTGAAGAAATGAGAGAAGAATTGTACCAGACAAAGAACTGAAGAACAACCCAAATCTCAATAGCTGCTGGTTGCTAGTACTAATAAGCTCTAATAACTATGGGTTTGAGCCATGGATCTGGATCGAGGAGCTGATGAACAAAAGAGAAGGTAAAAAAAAGAAAAAAAAACTAACCTGACAAATATATATGTGTTTATAAGCAGTACAAACTCATGTGTCACTCGAGTGTATAGACATGCCCCAGATCCATGGCTCACACGGCTTTACAGTAACAGATGATGCAGCACCACCGGGAAGGTATGTATGGTTTTTTATATGTCACCCCGTTTGTTTCACTTCTTCCTCGGCTTGGCGCGGCGCGACGTCGCCGACGACGACGAGCCGGAGCCGGAGAAGATGGAGCAGAGGATGCAGCCGGACACCCTCGGCGACGGCGGGTCGACGTCCGGGGCGATGTCCTTGGTCCTGAACACCTGCTGGCTGCGGTTGTCGTCCTCCTTCTGACCGTCCTTCTTCTTCTTCTTCTTCTTCTTCCTCTGCTGCTTCGTCGTCTTCTCGCTGTCGTCGCCGTCGTCGGCAGCGACACGGCGCATCATGCCGATGCTCCCGACGCTCTTGGAATGCCGGAGCTCCGGCTGGGGCTCCTCCGTGCCGCCACCGCCATCGCCATCGCCGGCCTTGGCCGCCTCTGCGTCCTCGGTCAAGAACCGCTCGTCCCAGACCAGGCCTGACGAACCGGACCTTCTGAATGTTGTCGCTGATCTTTGCAAGCCAGCCATCATCTGCACCACCAAAACCACCACTCCTCTCTGCAAAAAAAGAGGAAGCAACTTATCTGCAATTGTGGAGAACAAGAGGTGAGGATGAACTGAACGGTGTGTTCTCTTCTTCTCCTGGGGTTGGGTTGATTGCCTCTGCAGGCTTCCAATGTGTGTATATATGTGAACTGAAAAGAGACAGCCATTAATGTACAGACAGAAGAGCAGTCAACAGCCGGTGCCATTGGAAAGGTACCAGGGGCTGTCTTCCATTAACTAACTAGGTTAAGCAGGGATTAGTTTATCAACAACAGGTAGAAGAACAGTACGGTAAAACTCAACAGATTAAACTATGCACCTTTCTGGTCTAAACCCCATGCCTCTGGTTTTACTTTTCCATCACAAGCATGTGGAAGAGGAGAATCCAATCCAAGTGTGCTGAAGAAGTTCGACCATTACCACCATAAAAAGAGGACAATTTGCTGAGAGCAACAAGACCCTGCATGCATAAATTCTTTTGGCAATTTGTGCACATTACTGTGTGAAAAAGATTGTCCATGATATGTCAACACAAAAGGATCCATAGAAAAAATATCTAAATTGTGTAGTATGTGTCGGCATAAAAATGCTTAATACAACTGACAAGGGTAGGGTTGGGTCCAGCCATTAATTTGGACCGCCTCTACCAAAAGTCAGTTAATGAAGGAACATAACCAACAAGGGTTGGGTGCGAACCTTGATTACCATCTCTACCAGAAATCAGTTAGTTAGGAACAGTACATCTAAAGAAAAAAGTCGTGTGGACATAGTGAAAACAAGTGAAGACAAATGGCAATTGTATTAATTCCGCTCCAGTTAACACCAGCAGACAACCAACCATTGTTAGACAAAATGAAGTACAGTGCATATACTCCCTCCATTCCATAATATAAGGCACAACTACTTTGGTTAGATGTTCCATAATATAAGGCATGGATGCATGCAAATAATTAATTAGGACCTCTTCTCCATTAAATTATTACTTTTTTAAATCCTCTACTCTCAAGATCTCTAATTCTATTGTATGCATACATTATATTTATTAGGGTGATCCAAACTAGGAGATGATAGTAATTATTTCTTGGTCTTTGGATTAAAAGTGGTTGTGCCTTATACTCCCTCCATTTCGAAATGTTTGACGCCGTTGACTTTTTAGCACATGTTTAACCGTTCGTCTTATTCAAAAAATTTAAGTAATTATTAATTCTTTTCCTATCATTTAATTCATTGTTAAATATATTTTTATGTAGGCATATAATTTTACATATTTCACAAAAGTTTTGAATAAGACGGTCGGTCAAACATGTACTAAAAAGTCAACGGTGTCAAACATTTCGAAACGGAGGGAGTATTTTGGAACGGAGGGAGTATCATCTAAAACAAAGGTACAATGCATCGATCATGATTTTAACTCAGTGGTGACAGGTGAATTTTAGGTGCAGAATAAATATCTAATGTATATGTAAATCACCAACATCTGTTTACTCCCTCTAATTTTTAGTATATCTCTAATGATTGAATCACACATGCCCCCACAGGTCTTTCTCATTCCTTCCAACCTCACTATCTCTGTGTTGCAGCCTTGCAGGTCCCCAGATGCTACCTCCCTCCCCTGTTTCCACATAGTTTCCTTCTGATGAACTCCGAAATTTCTCCATCTGCCCCAGTAATCCACAGTACATGGCAACAATTTCATATTACATAATAGAAATCATCATAGAGTTGCAAAGTTTTGAAAGACTGATAAATATAGATTGGTGTTCCTAAAGAAGTGACAATATATCTACCCTGTAGATATACCTAATCTTCTGTGTCACTCACACATGAGCCTCTCATGATGACATGACCAACGCAAAGAGCTGAGCTGACCACAAGCCCAAACTACTCACATTGAAAATAGCAACACGATTTCGATTAAAGTAAGGCAAAGCATGGGTTTGATCTAATAGAGTACTAAAAGTCACCTATCGTGGACCACAAACATTCAACTCAAAAATGTGAACGTTAAAACATTTAACACAATCGTGTCAGCTACTCTGTCGCTGCCTTCCCAAACTTACTGGCATACAACTTCATCTTAAATCCCTACACTTAGGGTGAGTTTGAGGAGAAGTGGATTGAGAAGATTCGGAAGATACGCAAAATAAGATGAGCCATTAGCGCATGATTAACTGAGTATTAACTATTTTAAATTTTAAAAATAGATTAATATGATTTTTTAAAGCAACTTTCCTATAGAAAATTTTTGCAAAAAATGCACCGGTTAGTAGTTTGGGAAGTGTGCGCGCGGAATACAATGGGCTTTCTCACCCAATCCCCCAGGAACCAACGCACCCTTAATACTTCTGGCATAAAAGAAAAACATATACGGGATTACTGGGCACATATCCCAAAAAACCAGACTAGAGAAAAGATTATGTGAAACGCCTTGCTTCCAATAAGAAAACCAATCTAAGCAAGAACAAGACAGAATCTATTGTGACATTTATCATTCAGAAAATCAAGATCTGGTCAACAGAACCCAAGCCGACTTTCACTGAAGCTAATAGTCAAAATGGTGGTCCAGAGTGCAACAAATAAAATTATCAAAGTGGCAATTAAGAGTTGTACCTGTCACATTGGTTGATATGGGAGTACTAATATAAAACATACTCCATATTGGGCTTGCAGAAATTCTTCTACTTCAAAAATTCAAATTTAGAATTTGCAAATAGTTCAAAGAGGAAACCATCATACATGCTAATTTGAAGTAATTATCAACTAGCTATGGTCTCAGATAGGGATCTCTTGAATGCAACTCGATGGTCAGGTACCCCATCCTGTTCCCTTCTATCCTCAAACCACTTAACAATGGTCTTCCGTGGAAGGCTTGTCACTTGAACTATGCTGCTGATCATTGTATTCTGGATCCAATGCAAGAACAAACATAAAATTTAAGCAATGAAGTGAAATGTACTCCACTGAATGAAAAGGATGATCATAGTGGAAAATTCACTTACTGTAGGGCGTTTGGTTCGGGAGTAGACTCTTTCTAATGTCTCCAGTTGCACCTTTTTTAATCTTTTCTGTGAAGACCATTCTGCGCACATGACATGAACAGGAAGTTCCGTCTGTGGCTTGGTTTCAGTGACATCAGCGTTATCAACTACTGGAGAGGGCTCTATTTCCTTGATTTCAGGTTTAGAAGGGTCTTCATCAGGCAAAGAATCAGACATGAATAGAAGTTTTGGAGGTGGATTTCGGAGCAATTCAATGACCAAAGTCCTATCCAGGCCTAGTTCCCCTGCAAGATTCTTTATCTGCAATGGAAACAATTCATATAAGACAACAGAAAAAAAAACCTTCGATAATTTAAAGTTTGGATATATACCTATTACTACTATAAAGGAACGCTTCCTACAAACAGAAACTAACAGATTTCAGAAATGGAAATTAATTAGAATCCAAGTGGATATTTATCTACTCACACTAGTTTTACGGCGACCTATTTTGAGAGCACGAGCCAGCCTCTTAAGTTGCCAGTTTTTCAGCTCTGGCCGTTTGATTTCATCCGTTTTTTCATCATTCCCATAAGCCTCAGAGCCTAATGACGAACCCTCTCCAGATTCATCAGCATCAGCAATATCCCCGATTGCCTCTGCCAACTCCTGCTCAAATCTTGCCATATCTTCTTCTGAAATTCCATCGTCATCATCCTCAACAGACAAATCATCATTCTTGAGATCTTCTTCCAACTGCTTAAAAAGTGCTTCCAGCGCGTCGTCATCGTCTTCACCACCACCGCCAATATCATCCTCTACTACAACCTCCTCATTCTGGATTTTATTCTGGAATACATAACATTTTATCAACAACCCTTCCAGCCACAGCTTACGTGAGGGAACATTTAGGGGACAGACACATAAATCTCAAACACATCCGAGATAAAGATATGCATGCAACAAACAAAAAAAAAAATCGATAATATTCTCCAACTACAGAATAAGATAAGGTCAGTACGATAAGGAAAACACTATAAACGATTCTGCAACTCCTCTCGATGAGTAGGTGTAAAACGCAACAAATTCAGCAATTCACCAACCCGAATTTCCAGTCGCTCGCAGGGCGCCATCTCATCTACACTACTCTATCTACATCTACAGTAAAAAAAAAAGAAGAAGAAGAGGGGTTTAGAGGAGGAAGCAGTGACTGCGAGGTGACCTTGTACTTGGAGGGCCTCCGGCGAAGGGCGCAGGCGACGCCCCGCGGCGAGCGGCGGAGGAGCGGCCGTGCCAGGAACACTCGCGCCCCTGGCGCGGCGGCGGCCGCGGCCACGGCGAGCGGCGCCCCCACCATCGCCGCCATTTCCGCGAGCTCTCTCTTCGGATATTTTCGCTCCCACCTCTGCCCTCCTCTCCGTGGGATTTTTGGTTTCGCAGAGTCCAGAATCCAAATGGGCCGTCTCTCTTCGTCTGGGCCCATTTTGTCCTCAGTTCTAGCCCATAAATAAAATAAAATAAGTTCACTTTCGGTTTCTCTATTTTTACGTCGAGTTTTCACTTTTGCATGGTGTTCTTTTGTCCGAAGATGAAGATTAAGATTAAGTTTTTTATGTAAAATGAGATGGTATTAACATATGATTGATTGAGTTTTAATTATTACAAACTTGAAAAATATATTAATATGATATTTTAGAGCAACTTTCATATAGAAAGTTTTTGCACGAAACGCACCGCGTGCCACGAAAATCTTAATCTTAATCCAACTCTTGTTGGAGAAAAGAACATGACTGCAATACCGGATTATCCAATGTCCGAGGGACGCACCCGTGCTTCGCCACTATCACCACCATCCTCGTCGGAGTCTAGGTGGTCACCGGTGTCGGTGCCGCGTTGTGTCCTGTCATGGAGCATAGAGCGAGAAGCCTAGAAAAAGAAGAAGAAAATGGAAGAAGAAAAGAGGAGTGTGAGACTGATAGGTGGGTCCCACACCAACTCAGCCAAGTTGATCGCGGTCAAATCGTCACGTTAGTTGAACCCGGTGCACAATACTATTATGGGACCTCGTGTAATATGGCATCACAAGTTGAGGGATACATTATACTTCATCCGTTTGTGAAACGGAGGAAGTATATGATATTGTGGTTCAGGGACGCGCGATTTCAAACGGGACGTTAAGATGAGGGATCTGAAGTGAACTTATTTCATAAATAAAATGGGCTGGAACTTTAGGCCCATAATACGTGGTCTTTGTTGGGCTCAATATCAGTAGGAGAGATGTGGGGCCCATCTAGCAGTAGGAGTGGGTAGTTAGCCGAACCGGTCAGAGACGCGTCAAGAAGACGACGCCAACGCGGCGGCGGCGGCGGCGGCGAAGAGGAAGGCGAGGAGCTCGTCGTCGCCGGCACGCGCGCAGCGCAGCGCAGGGTCGCCGACTTGCGTGTTGCGGTCGCCTCGCCTCGCCGCCCCGCGCTGTTGATCGGTCGGCGAGGACAGGAGGCGCCGAGGCGGGGGTGATGCGGCGGTCGTCGAGCGGGGCGCGCGTGTCGTCGGAGGGCGGCAGCGGCGGCGGCGGAGAGATCGAAGGAGTGGGGCTGCCGACGTGCGACCCGCAGTCGGCGGCGGGGCGGAGGGAGGCGGCGCGGGCGCGGGCGCTGCAGCGCGCCGTGCACTGCATCCCGCTCGTGCTGATCCTCTGCGCCCTCCTCCTCTGGCTCTCCGCCTCTTGAGCCTCTTCGGTGAGCACCAACTAATCTCCATATCTCTCTCTCTATGTCGATGGCGAGATGCTAATTAGCTCAGTAGGATAGCGATCGTCGCGGCGTGAGCATGATCTGATCGAATCTTGCCCCCATTTCTTGGAAAAAGTGCGCTTCTTGTCTGTATGATCTATTTACGAATCACATCCCAGCATCAAGTTGAAAATTTTTGAGCAACGATCCGAAATGGTTTCAGGAAAATGCTTAATAATCCCAACAATATCAAGACTGGTATCGTCTCACTGCAATCTGTAACTCTCTACTCCTCTTGTTTCTTCTTGCTTGCTTGTAAATTTCGTTGCTGAATTTGCTTTTTTTTGGGATGTTTCCGCAATCCTCGTCAGTACAAGCAGACTAATATATTCCCTTGGGTGCATCAATTTTGTTCCTTTCTCCTTTGAGATCGTTTGATTTCCCGTCAGGATTAGCCCTTTTCCTTCTTGCTCAGTCCGATCTTAGCGAAAATAACTGATTTGCAGATCTGCACTAGAATTAATTCAAGAGGAAAGACGAATGGTCTGGTGGTGAGGAGGTTGTTTAACAGTTTAAGCTCCCGACCACTCGAGTTATTGGATATTGGGGATGATTGGCATGCTACTATGGCAGTCCATCCCCTCTAATGTGAGTGCTAGAACTCCTGTTTCAAAAAGAAATTCATGAAATATAGTTGCTTCAGCACTTCTTTTGCAAAATGTTTCTTTACCTTTGGTGAAATGGAAGTACGGCAAAAACAAGAAGACATAAACTGATAGTCTTAACTAGTTGCCAATCATAAAAAATCCTGTTAGTTACATGCAAGCTTTTGTTGCTTATGAGGAAGAGATGTTGGAGGATCTGGGTTAGAGAAAGATTGATCCTTGTTTATGGTAATCAACCTCCAACCTTCCTTCCTGTCTCTTTGAGTTTGCTTTATCCTTAGTGTGCGTGCGTCCGATTTGTACTCGCAAAAGAGAAACAACCATAAATTAGTATAAGCTATATTTATATTTTGTAAAGAAATAATGGGACAGATTGGTTCAACCAGTAGGGTAAACTTTTATTGATGAAATAATTGACATTGTTTGAGAGAAATTGACAGCTGATTACATGTGATGTGATAGGAATATAATATACACAATGGTCGAACTTGAAAAGAACTTTAGCATGCAATGGGGATCATCTCCAGCATCCGATGCTAAAGATGCTTCCCTGAGGCTCCTAAAGTCTTTCACTCCTCATAAATGGATTTTCTCCACTTTGCAGTTTCAACGCTTGTTTTTGCATCCTGGAGTTCTGTCACATACATATATATCTTTTTTTTATTCGATCAGTTATCGCTGTAGAAAATATGCTCTGTTGTGACATCGCAGTGCAACATGGGATGTTATGCACTTGTCCTCAGAGCAGTCCCTTTGTATGCCACCACTACTAAACCACATCAATTTCTTTGCTATGGTTACTCTACCTCGTGACCGATGAACCAATTTTTTATAGCAATCATCAGTTGATTAAGAAGTGTGACACCAGATCGAAATGTGCTTTCAACTGCAATACACATAAACTGATTTTGCAATGACTTGGCAATCTAGGCCTTCTTATATATTTGATTGCTCATTGTAGATAGGGTCCTTCCCCTTAAGGCCTCACTGTTGGGGCATAAGCTCCCTCTTTCTACCCATATATGCAAGGCACCTCTCTACCCTGTGTTTTAGCTTGCACCCGTCATTGTGATTTTGCATAAATATGGTTATGTTTGCTTTCGCACCCAAATGCTTTCTGACGTCAATGATTTTTCTGATGTATGCAGATTGATAACCAATGGGTGTTTCAAGTGGATCTGACGCCACAATGTAGAGTTTATAGAGAAAACAAAATACAAGTGAACTAGATCAGGCATGATCAAGTAAAACACAGAGACATTAAGTTACAAAAAGATTACCACAGCAAGAAGCTCATCTACTACAGTTATATTTTTTTGGTTTCCCCTGAAAAGGGTAGCTGTTTTCGGTATAGATATTCTTTGAACTTTAGATTGGAGATGAGATGATTTGGCGACCATTACAGTTTGTATACAAAGGAAGTGTGTACTCTTTTCCTACACTAAGCATGTATAATACTTACATCTGATGCTATTCTTCCAAATTCTATACACATGAATATGTGATTTCGCTGGCAGCTAATTTGCTGAGGTTTTAGCAGCTGTGCTTGTTTGTTGTCTAAATCGATGTGAAGTTTTTCTGTAGCCTAAGCCTTTTCTGGTCTAGGGTCTGTTGTAAAACTTTCTCTCCTTCTTAATACAAAACTTGGCCGGTTTCTTTTGCTGGCCCGGCGAAAAAGAGAACATGTGATTTCTTTGCTTGCCTCCAGTTTGTGTTGTGCATATACCTCTGTTGTAAGTTATCCTTTTATTCTGTGCTTCGATTGCATCCCCCGGTGTATAAAGGGTCAAATGATAGTTCATACAAGTAAATATATATGATTACATTTATAATATTTAGATCCATGATTACATTGATAATTTTACATGATTACATTACAATCCATGATTACATTGATAGTATTTAGATGAATAATTTTTTTCTTGTTTTAAAGTAAATATAAAATTTTAATCCACTGTAATTTAACTTACAAACTCTAGATCCAGCACTAGCTGTGCCAGACAAGAAGTTAAAGCCAAACTCCATTCCATGGCAATTCGTTTGTCGTAATCGTAGCCATTTCGACAAAAAAATGTCTAACCATAATTTGTTTTGGTCGATTTTGACACCCAGAAACCAAATTCTTGTGGATGTCAATGGCAGACCGAACTGTCACTGTTTCACTATCGCAACAACCATATTATTAATAATATTATCATACGTTATCACAAAAGGTATCCATCTATTACACCAGAAAAGTATGATCTATCCAGTGAGATAGGCTTTTGGATGGTTACTATATAATCTGCAACTCTGCACACACGGCCACAAACACAAAAGCTCAATTCAGAAAAAGAAAATTGAAACCATGCAAATTCTGGCGAAAGAAATTTCATGTGTCCTAATAAACGCAACAAAAATCCGAGATGTCTCTTTTAAAATTTGGCCAGGCCAATGGGAGCCACCCGTTGCATCCGACCAAACAAGGCTTGAAAGCCAAGTGCTGAGGAATGTTGTACCCTTTGTGTCCAACTCATACTATCTCGAATTAATCTAGTTTTTGTTGGTTGATTAATCTGTAAAAAAAACTTATCTTTGTGCAGTTTTTATTGTTTTTCTTTGTTGGTCATCCACTCGTCCTTTCCTGCACCGCAAGGAATATGAAAGCCAAGTGATGAAGCAAAGCAAAACTGACGGTTTGCTCCTAAACTTGACTGCCAAGCCAGAAGCAACCCAACGAATGAATTCTAGGAGTACAATTTATGCGCTAAACCTTGGCTACTATTTAAGCTAGAAATTTTTTTTAAAAAAACTCTCAGCAAAGGAAGCATTGGAGTTACAATCGTAGAGTAGTTGATGCATAACTATACTTACAATCTGTAAAAATTATAGTGAATATAATTATACACATATAATTATACACTCGTACAGCAAAAGTGCGACTATGGTGCGTATCTGTATTTTCTAAAAATCAAAAAGTTATATACTTGCACTCAATTTGATATAAAAAATGCTAGCATGAATGAGTTGCCAACGCACCAAAACTTTTATTCAACACCCCTATATTTATTATAATAATTCATTTGCAAAACTATAATATTTACCGAAATAGACATTAAAGATATAGTACCTGATCAGTAACATGCCTATTTCATTTATTGTAGGTAGTGACGTAGTTTTCGGTGACAAGCTCACACATACGTAAAAGCTAAGTTTACAACTCATCATTCTATTTTAGATTTTCAACAAACCATTAAAAAAATATGCTATGGATGATTTATGACCATTCCTCAGGTATCAAAGAAATGTTATATACATTTATATTTTGAATGCCTATTTAACAAATACCTAATTAAAAGATGAATAACATAACTATAAATTCCTTAATATCATACCAATAATGTCAATATTACATTTCTCGACGATCAGTCACATATCAACAAATATTCTCTCAGTACTTTAAAAGTATAAAAACAAACAAAATGACCACAAAACCCCATCGGTCACCGACCCTTCTCCGAACAGGAAAAGAAATCGGCTTGCAACAGCAAAAAAAAACCGACAGCCAGCCAGTCACCGACTCTCACCGGTGGCAGCATCGCCACCAAGAACCCTATCCTCCGCTGGCCATCCGATCTCGATCGGACGGCCAGCAGCTGCCGCGCTCCAGCGCCGTTCCGATCCGACGGCCGAGATCCCACGCGATCCCATCCCACCCTCACATATAACCGCGGCCGCATCACGGATTAATAGCGAGTTTAATCACAAGAAGAAGAAGAGAGAGAAAAAAAGAGAGAGAAGAAATCACACCGCATTAGCAGCAGCAAAAGATTTCCTCGTTTCGCTTCACGAATTTTTGTTGCCCTCGCCCAATCCACAGCGCGAGGAGAGGGAGTTCTCGCGGCGATTTCTCGTCGCCCCTCTCGGCCGCTGCCGGGATCGCAGCTCGCAAGGTTCGTGACCCCTTCCGATTTTGTGTTCATTTTCTTTTCTTTTTTTCTCTTTTTTGGTGTTGTTCCTGTGCGGGAATTGGGGAGGAAAAGGGGAGGGGAGAAGGGGTGGAGCCGCGGTGAAATTTTGGGGGGTGGTGATTGATATGCTCTACTGTTTGCTTTGGTCCCGATTGACCAGTTCAAATGTTCTTGCTTTGGTCGGTGCTCGGGTTTGATTTGACGCTTGGTTTAGATCGTCTTGGTGCGCGTGGTCTGGTATCGTCGTGGCGCTGTTCTTGCGCCTCTTGTGTTGTGATTGCTGTTGTTTTTCTTTTTGGGGGGAATCGCTTGGTTGGAGTTCGTAGTTTGTTAGAGTTGCTGTTTTGGGGGTGGTGTATTTCTCTTATTTTTGTTTGGTTTGTTCGATTTCCGGGCGGGATAGTTGTTCTGATTTTGCTGCAATCTGCCGCAAAATCGCTGTTGCTGAGGTGATGGATGGTCCGTGCGGTTATTTCGATCGGCCTATGTGATCCATTGCGAGTTTTGTTCTTGTAATAGATCGATAGACCCGTATGCTCCGGATGTAATGCTTCCGATTTCCACAACCTAAATTGCGTTAAGTAGTGATCTATATAGGGCAATAGTCAAAACAATTTATTGATTCACGAATCCTTGTTCATAGCATATTTCAGATTTCGCATTGCAATCTGTTGTGATTTTAGCAATGTTATAAACTAGGATACGTTTTTTTCTGTGTAATCTGCATTAGACCTTGTAGAAGTTGAAAAAAAAATTGTATTGTGATTCATCCCGTAATCCACTTTGCTAGATTATTGATTATTACTGTTCTTTTTTTTTGTTTGTGCCAGTTTTGGAAAGGAAACAGGTTGATGAAGTTGGTCAAAGGGAGCAAGGTGGAGGTGTTGCAGGAAGCGGAGGTGCCCCTAGGTTCTTGGAGGGGTGCTGAGATTGTATTAGGCAATGGGCAGAGCTTCTATGTGAGATATGATCCTTCTCCAGTTGACTCTTGCGCCGCTGTCGAGAGGGTGCAGAGAAGGTTGATAAGGCCTTGCCCCCCTCGAGACGATTCAGTATGCTGGGCTGTGGGCGACATCCTTGAGGCCTTTGATAGCTACTCATGGAAGATTGCTGAGATGGTGAGAGTGCTTGGCAAGGATTTCTATCTCGTCAGGCTCCTCGGATCTTCGCTGGAGCTGAGAACACATGCGTCGGAACTTCGGTTGAGGAAGCATTGGAAAGATGGCAAATGGACTGTTCTTCAGAAGGTAATGGTCCATTCCTTCAAATTCATGATATGGAATTATTCATGATTAGTTTTTTTTACTGAAAAGTAGAATAAGCTACTTTATTTCCTTAAGTTGAATAAATCAGCTGGCAGATTGCCACTGTCTTATCTTCAGCAAATCTGTTATTGAAAATTCGATTTTAATGTATCGATAAAACATCCTAATGACTTGTCTCCAATTGATTTCAGGATTCTACAAAGTGCTTCGGTGGTTCATTCAGAGGTCAACCAAAATCTGGAAATCTTGGAAGCAATTTTGGCAAGCAAAGGCAGCCATATTGTGCAATGGACAACAATCTTCTACTGAAGAACCAAAAAGCTTTGGAGGGTGATAAGTCTAGAGGCATGAAGAGAAAATCATCTGCTATTACACACCCAACCCAGTGCAGTGAAGTGACTAGAGGCATGAAGAGATTACAGACACCCCATAGAGATGGAAGGCACGCAGCGCTGGTTGCTGGAGTTTCTCCTCGTTTGGCTGAAAAGGTAGATGCTGTTGATTCCCCATGCTTAATGCTGGGTGAAAAATACATGCATGCTTCCTTAAATAAGAGAAAAAATGGTGTTCATACAACTAACTTGGCTGGGGTAAATGTGGATACTGAAAATAAATTCCGTCCTTTAACAAGTGCTTATCCTAGTGACACCGAGAGTATCTCATCCTCTGTTGGTAGTTGTAGTCCAAGCAGTAGTCCCTGTAGTTCACGACACTTTTACTCAGCCTACCAAACTGGTGATATCTGTAGTAGAACTGATGGTGCTGAAGCTGCCGTATCTGAAAGAGAAACATCTCAACATGATAAGATTATACCAAAGGAAGATACCCATTTGCTGGAGTTGCATGCTTATCGTGCAACAATGTTGGCATTGTATGTTTGTGGGTCAATTAGCTGGGAGCAGGAGGCTTTGTTGACTAATCTAAGGCTTACACTGAACATATCAACTGATGAACATCTAGCTGAGTTGAGGAGTATGGTTTCCTCGGCTATTACTTCTAGATAGCAGTTGTAGTTACTTGCTTGGTGACTTTTATGACATCTTTGTTGTCTTGAAATCATTGTAAGTTGGGAAATCCCATTAAGTATGAGGTATTTGAGTAGTTGATGTTCTGTATTACCTGTTAAAAGAGTTACCTAGTCAGATCATTTTTGTACCATAGACCTTCCAAGAAACATGAAATTTTGCTACATTTTCTCAAACAATTACTGTTCTTCACTTATTCACACTGAAGTTTGTAGCTTTACATTGCTTATATGTTGCTTGTGATCATCTGATTGAATTTTACAGTACTATGATCAAACTCTGCTTTCATTTCAGTGGTACAATATGAAAGTGAGGTCTACGTTAGTGAAGTCCAGTTGTATATATTTGAGCCTTTATGCTGCCAATGATTTTACTTACCCGGGCTACTTGATCCATTGTTTTTTTATTATTCAACATTGTTAGATGTCATGAACATTTGTGCAGGACCTATCATGGTGAGAACCCCATTATTAAGAAAAAAACTGTTGAGCAGCGAGTAATATTCGTATGTTATGTTCAGATGCCATTTTCTTGTCTAGATAGTTAACTGACCTTACAAATTGCAAATGCATCTTTGTACTCGGGAAATTACCACTCAAGGATTGTTCTTGGCAAAGTCTGCAATGAGAAAAGTTGGAAAATGGAAATCTGATACTTATCATGAATTTTCCAGGGCCGAAGTCGGAGGCTTGTAAAGCATCCTTCTGTAGGTCCATGTCGATGGAGGAGTCTGCCACATGGTTTGCTGTATGTTAAATGTGGCAACATTCCATCGAACTTCTGTTGGTACCTTGTTTGTTTTTGTTATTCCTTTTGCTTTAGTATTATCTTTTCTGCTGCCTTTTCTTGTGATTGGCCACTAAATTTCTCGAGAACATTATGAAGTGCATAATTTCCATAAGTTTACACCACATTCATAGAAAATAAACAAAAGTACATGGTAGGCACATCTGGATCAATTACCACTAAAAAAAGGAAGATGAACTTATTTTCATATTGACATATTTTGATATATTTTTTTCTCTTTAGAATGTGAGGCAACTGAGAGGAGTACCTGCAGATTTTGCATGACATGGTAAATAGTGTTTACAATTGGTAAGTTTAAATTTGTAGGTCAGTAATGATAATACAATTATAAACATCGTAGTTCTAACCATGTGATTTTTAACACCTATTTGCAATATGCACATTACCCTTTGTTACCAAAAACAGAAATTACAGAGGGATCTTCAATCTGAATATGACCTGCAAAGACTTTGTAAGAGGCCTTATTTCAAGGTATATATGGTGACTACTGAATTAATGTATGCACCATGGCATTGTTGATCACTGAGGCATCTAGCTGGCTTGTTGAATTCCATCACAAGTCACTCCTTAGTGCATGACTTATTATAGTTGACTCACATGGTTGCTTAGTGTTGTTTGAATGAGTTTTACCATCTAATATTTCTACATATGGATGCACAAATATTGTATTAGACATATGGATGCTTCCCACAGTGCTCTATCGTTGTTTCATGATATCCTAGGAAGCTCAATTTCTATGTTCAGAAGAGTGTGATGCTGAATTGTTTTTGCTTAGGAGAGAGTGTGCAGTCAGCTCAACTTTCCTATGCAGATAAGTTGTTTGCAGTATGAAAAGCAGGGAAAATTTCCAAAAGATTACTGGTGGTGTCACTTTGTCAACAACAACTACTTGTGTTACTGGTGGTCAATACCTTCAAGAACTCACGTGAGTTTGCTAAGTTGAGGACCTGCAACTGACTTCCAATTAAACAGAAGTTAAGGTAGGCAGGCGCACCTTGCAATTCGCAGCAGCAAGTCAGGTGAGGATGCACCATATTGTTTGCCTCACCTGTACTCGTATCTGCAAAATATAATTTACCTCTTTTAATGTTCATCTGGAAAATTACTCTTTAATTCAGATGCTTCACAAGGACTCAGGAGGTTCTCACGCAAAACGTGTGTCATGGTGTTTGTGTGTCAATCATTATTTGTTTTTAATTGCAAGCATTTCAAGTGGCTTGTTTGGCAGCAAAGTGTTACAATTTATTAGAGTACAATTAATTATGTCCTGAATTAATGATCAAAGTACGAGACACGCACTGAAAAAGGCTAGAGAGTTCTTGGCCGTCTTCTGTTCTGTGATTGTGGCATCTTGCATGCAGCTGGTATACTTTGATGGCTCCTAGCTGCAATTCTTTAAGTTGTAGTACAGTGTAATATGCCATTACTTGTTCCGGATGTACTGAAAGATGTAAAGTTGCTAGATCTGCATTGCTACGAATAATTTGTTCAGGTTGCACGCATTTGACAAGTTCCCTTTTCAGAAGAAGCATTATATGGTGCACCTGGTGTTTTCAGATGAGCAAGTGAGAAACCTCCGTTGAAGCCAACTGCAAGCAAAGAATATATGGAACATGTCCTTTGTCTCATTAGTTTGTATTAAACCGATGGTGATGCATTCCTTTTAATTCCATAAAAATATATGATGTGTTTGTTATTGAACTGTGTAATAATACAGACAAATGTCTGTTCAAATAAAGAGTCACTCTTTTATTCTCTCACTTGTGGATAATACTGCATATCAAAGTTTTAGGCAGGTCTGATAGCCCACCCGGATTGGGCCATCAGGCCTAATGGTAGCGCAACTGGGCTGTTCATTGCTTTAGTTTTTACCTTTTAGGAAAAAGTACATTGAAAGGCCTCTTGTCACCGCATTACAAAATCGTCCTTACGACGCATGTGGGCCCCCACATAAGCCTCATCATTTTTTTAGTTACTATTTAGTGAAACTGACGTGTGGGTCTAACTTTTTTTTTTATTTTTTTTCGGATCAAATCGCTACTTAAGCGCCACATCGGATGGAGACTAGTCAATTGAGCCACATAGGCGCCACGTTAGTTAAAACCAGGGATAATACCACCAAGGAACCTAATTCGCACTGGTTCTGTAAGTTGATGGATGCGTTATATTCGGTTTTGCGGTTTAAGGACGATTTTGTAATTCGGTGACAAGATAAGGGACCTCCGGTGTACTTTTTGCTACTTTTTACTGCTGAAATTATCCTGTCGATATCGATTGGATTGAAAATTCAGAATTAGGCCCTGAATACATCATATTCCAGCATTCTAATTGTTCTCAAATGAATGTTTTTTTCTATGTTTTTTATGTGGCATCTTCCAATTCTTTGGCGACGTGTATCCTTCTAGATACTTCCAAAAACATACTACCTACATCCCTCAATGTTTGCGAAGGTTCATCTCGTTCTGACATAGTGGTGAAATCTGAAACTCTGTCATCAGGTTTGAAGTTTTGAACTCACCGAGTGATTTCAGAGGCTTTTTCTTAGAGGAAGTTTGTAAAGCATGGTCTTCGTTGGTTAGATCGCCTCCAAAATTTCCCAGTCATAATCTTTAGACTATTAATAGAAAAAAAATATTTGTGTTTCTACAGAATATTTTCGCCTCGTGAAGCACATGAGAAAGAGGGCCAATAATGTTCCATTTCTGAAGAATGGCAAGTTTCTTCAAACAAAAAAAAAAAACTTCTTTCCGGTTAAGTGATGATGATCTAGTTGACGCATTGGTTCAGAGAAAATACCGTGTGTTGTTTGATGTGCTCTGCATTGGGTATCAACATCATGAAACGGAATCATCCACAGAAGCAGAGCAGAGAATCAGAGAGTACAAACGGATCATCAGGCGACGCAGACACTTTCAGGTTTCCACTCAAGGCAAGCAACATGTACTACAATGTTCTCCATTTCCGCATAAAAAAGTCCAAAAACGATTTCAAGGACAGCAGAGGCCGGCCATCCATCCTGTCCTGGCAAGATTCTGCAAGAAAGAATCAATGAAGCCAAGCCAAGCCACTGCTTTTATCAGCTTATGGGGCTCGTGGATTCTCCACGCCAAGGTGTTCGAGCAAATGCCCCAACGAACGAGGCTCTGGGGCCATGCCCATGCCAGGCGGGCGCGCGACAGCAGCTCGACCGGCGACCGGCTGGCCTTCCCCCCCGGGGACCAGCGGCGACGGCGACGGCGAGACGACGACCCACCCTGCAATCGATGCCTCCCCCTGTACGCCGCTGCCGCGACCAGCTCAACGAACACTGGCAGTCAGCCACTGCTGCTGCTGCTGCTGCTGTCGCTGTAGTGAATGTTTATGCTGCATTTGCAGTGCATGGGCATGAGAGATGGAGCCATGGCTGACGACGACGATGATCCTGAGCACTGGAACAAAAGCGTACCAGACGCTGCCTCTGCCTGCATTGATGCTGCGAGATCGATGATGCAGTGATCCAGTATGCTCTGCCACCACCACTGCATGATTGTGTGTGGGCTGATCAGCTGATGCTTGGTTGCATTACATGCTAGTTAAGTTGCATACTTTTGCCGGGCCGGCCAAGAAAGGCCAACCAAATTTACCTAAGATTGAAAAATATATACAAATATACAAAGTTATAACTTCAACGAGAAGCTGTCGAACTAATGGAAGTTGTCACCGGAGCAACTTCCCAAAAGCAAAAGATTACACTAAAAGACTACTCTCCTATATTTATGAAAATCCCAGCTTCTTTCCAAATCGCCACTTCCTTTTTGATTGAACCAAATAGGAAACCGGCTGAGCGCCGCTGGTTCTGAAACACACGCGCATTCAAATGATCGTCATCATTCAAATGATCGTATCAAAGAGCAATACTTTCCGTTTATCCAAAGCAAATTAAAACGTGAGAAATGCTCAAGGGTCTTCCAGTTAGTTTCATAAGGTGATGGGCTAGCCGACCTGAGTTAGAAGTCTCATCATTTCTATTTATTTGATATTACAGTAGATCATTCCCTAATATTCACGTTTTTAGCAAATTAAAACGTGATATGGCATTTGACAAGTAAACGCAGCCAAATGGCAAGCAAAGCTAAGCTACTTCCTACTACGTATCTACTACTAGGCTGAGATGCCAACAACGAGCAGCAACTGGACCAAACTCGTGCTGAGATGATCTGCTGCGTGTAGCTTTCGTCGCCACACTCACAATGACAGGTTATACTCGCCCATTTTTGAGCAGTTGCTTCTGTTTCCTAGTCCTTATCTCTCGTCATGTCGGTCATTTGATGATGGCTGCGTTGGATATAGCCCAAGAACATGTCTAGTGTAGGCTGTGACACTTGGCATCTCTCACCTATAGCTAGCCATTAGATTAATGATGATTAGTAATTGCCTTAATTTCAGTGTTAGTTTTGGGCTTTTGGCACCTTTGGTACACTATTATATCTCTCACTACTGAAGTTCTACTTTGAGATTTGTACTCCCTCCATACTCATAAAAAAAGTCGTTTATGACAATATTTAAGTCAAACCTTAAAAATATAAATCATTAATAACTCTCAAGTTGTTGAGTTTGAAAATGTAAAAATTATATGTATAGATTTGTCTTGAAAAATACTTTCATAAAAGTATACATATATCACTTTTCAATAAATATTTTTATATAAACAAGAAGTCAAAGTTGTGTTTTGGAGACCGTGTTGCTGTTCTAAACGACTTTCTTTACGAGTATGGAGGGAGTAAGTTGTTAGTAGTAAGTAGTAAGTTTACGATGAAGATGGCTAGCTACTGACAATGCAGGTTAGTTGCAGTACTGCTCATCTGTAACAGAGTAGTTCCATTGAAAATTAATCAGAAGTTTTTGAGTTTCTCCATGCTCCGATCTTGTGTAGTAACTCAGTAACTCACTGTACATAGTGCATGACTTGGATTAGCTCAGAATATAATACATGCCCTCTCATTAATTTCTTGTCAAGACACAGCATGTGTTCTTTAGGGACAGATTAGCAAGAATCTATAGCAACTGAAGGCACTAGCTAGCCTACCAAGCTAGGGTAGTAATAAACAACTTAGTTAGCATACAGATGTGCATTTAATCAATTAAGCAAGGTTAGTACTAGCTTTCTAATTGTGCATGTGCCCTATTAACTGCATCTTGTATCACAAGTCCTAGTTGCATGTGCTGCATTAGTTAAGACTTGAAAGTAAAACTTTATCCATGAGGAATCAAATAATGGTACTCAGGGCTTATTCAGTTTGTTGCCTAATCAACCTATTAAAATTTGGCACATTTGGTTTCCTTACCAAGTTTGAGTAGTGTTTTTTAAGAGAGAACTTTTGGAACTACCAAATTTTAGTATGGTAGTAAGAGTATGTTTCATTTGTTACCCTACTAAAATTTGGTAGAGTTGAAAATGGCAACAAACTAAACATGCCCTTACATGTAGTTTATACAAGAGTTACTGTGTCACACTCTCCTTCAATGCTCAAGAAAGTGCATGGTACAACACTCCATGAGGTCTCGGATTCATCCGTATCATCCACAATTGTAGGCATGTGCATATGATGGTGTATATGCATACATGTCTACCTTACAATACAATTAAAAAGAATATAAAAGCTACGATCGATCTTAGTTTTGTCGGTTAATCCATGCCAGCTAGCTTGATCTAAGCACATTTTAGTATTTTGGCGCCAATATTTACTAGTTCTAGTCTCATTATATTTTGGAGATGCATTCATGTCATGTGCTGATCATGCAGCAGAGTGTCAGTTAAGTAGTGCTAACCAAATTGTCCTTGGTCTTCATGTGCTAATTAAGCTTAGCTTAACCTCTCCAGCCATCATCTATTTCATCATTAACTATAGCTTCCCTAGTGGATAATTGAGGTGACACCTGTCTATTACATCCCTAATGATTGCATCATTGGTTTGTTTCACTGATGATTGCGTTGGAATTCAGCAGTCAGAAGCAAGCGATGATGCGTAAGACAACCAACTCCTTAATTGCACATGATGCTGTGCCACATTTTTCTCATAAGAGTCATACTCATGATGCTGCAGGATGATGATGATCAGCAGGCACAAGGGCATGGAGAACGATGCTTGAGAAGCACTAGTTTAGTACAAGATTTTTGTCTTGTCTTCAGTTATAGCTCAATCCAGCTTCAAAGATGTGTGAGTGCAACATCATACTGTGATACAATTCAAGGGGTTCTGCATGCTGTTTTTTTTTTGTTGTTGTTTTTTCATTCAGTCTAGTTTTCAGAGTTGTGCAGTACTACTGCTGTTTATTCATGAGAGTTAGGTCTACCACTGTTCCTGCTTTATGTTCTTGTCGTGTTCAATGCAAACCTAAAAAGAAATTAGGAGCGGAATTGTGACCAGCGAACAAGAATTTCAATCATGCAACGTTAGCATCAATCATATTAACTCCACTCTGCTGCCTTAGGCTGATCTCTCAAACAAACAAACAAACAAACAAGATGTGTCCCTAGCATAACATTGCTTGTTGGCTGGTGATGATGCAGATATTGCTTGAGACATCAGGATCAGATGGTGAGCACTGAACAAAGAGGATAAGTGCTGCTGGTGCCTGCCTGCAAGGAGCCAAAGGGACCTCTTGCTTCCTACCTGCCAATCACTTCTTCCCTAGCTCTCTCTCAATACTTTGGATCTGAAGCATCAAAACAATCTAGCTCATTGTCTGAACAGCAGCACATCAAAACTGCACCTGCTAC